CCAACAAATGGCCAACATTTAAAAAATATCTACGTGAGGTTATCACTTAAATTTAATTTTTACTTTTTGGGTTCAACAAAATAAAAAAAAATAAAAAAGATAAAAACATATTCTGTCTACTGTTGTTACTGTTGTTGTTGTTGTTATCTTTCTATGTATGTCGTGTAAACCTATAATTAGGACAAATTATCTGCATGTTACTTATTGTATTGTGTAAAAATGTATGTGTTATAATTTTGTCCTGTTGGTTTATCTTAATAAATAAAATAAAAAAAAAATAAAAAATAATTAAACTAGCTTTCGCCCGCGAGTCCGTGCGCGTGGAATTAAAAAAAAAACAAAAGTGAATATCCTACGTGCTCTTCCAGACTATTCCCTACACCTGTGCGAAATTTCATCGAGAGAGAGAGAAACATCCATTCATAAACTGAATAAATGGTATCCTTTGTCCGTCTCCTGGCTCTAAGCTTCCTCCTCACCAATTATCAGCCATTTTTCAACACGACTTTCTTTTATATATGTAGATGAAAAAGATGGATGTTTTTATTTTTAAAACGTCTTAAAGAACCTCGTTGAAATGTCACAGATGTAAAACGTACTATAGAACACATAGGCTACTTACTATTTTTTTATAATTCCGCGCAAAGCCACATGCAAAAGCTAGTTAGATATAAAAATATTTGATTATGAGTTCATTAATATTAATGTTGAATGTTTACTTCTGTTTCTAAATAAATGTGAAGGCCGTGTTGTGTTGCATATAAAATAACTCCTGTGATTATATGAATAGTATTAATTTTTCTCTTTATTATCTTACTTCTTACTCTTACTAATATTATAAATACGAGAGTTTAGATGGATGTTTGTTAGAGTTTGTAGCCTAATATTGCTGAACAGATCTCGATGAAACTTGGAGAGAATTACTTGAGTGTGCTGCCATTGGCAGCAGACGCAGGCCACGGACGTAACCGAAAGCGTGCCCGTGGCACCGGCCTAAGGTGTTGAAGGAACCGAAGGGTTTATTGGGTATGCCCCCCCATTATAGGGGGAGTGTCCTACATAACTACCGCGTTTCCCTGGGCGCGGAGTATGCGTAAAGCATTCCCCTCGGGCGAAAAAAAGATGTAGAGAAATAGGCTGGGTTGCGTTTTATTTAAGTTTAGAGTCGCGTGCGAAAGCTAGTAAAGTCATAATTTTTGTTATTATCTTTTTAATTATTACATTTTGCTTGTTAAATGATTTGTTGCTCAGGTAAATGAACATATTTCCTTTCTATTCCTTCCCTTCCTTTTTCTACAAGCAAAGGCAAGTTACAAGTCTGGCTACAACTTAGTTTTGTTTGCAAGGTCTATGAATCAGTAGAAATGAAATCATACACTTTTATAATAATTATATAGTTTATGTTAGAAAAATGTTGTATTTATAAATTTAGTGTCTGCATGCTATTGCAGACAATCGCCATTTGACTTACTCTGTCTGATTTTTTGAGTTACCTTTTCATTTATGCAATGGCTGTTACTCCCGATTTCGTCCCCGTGTTACTTAAAAAAAAAGTATAATGTTATCCCACGAGTACATTGTTCATTGATGACGTAGCTTTTACTTGACACTTTTCTTTTTTATAACATAAGGTGGCAAACGAGCAAGCGGACAGTAGAATCCGCCAAAATGGTGAAGCGACCGCTGTTCATAGACATCCGCAATTGCAGATGCGTTGCCTACCCTTATACGACGGAGGAGGAGACGCACATACAGAGGACAATTCCCCTTTCTATGCATCTCCTCCACCGTCAAATCCACTTCCCTTTCCCAACCTCACCTTATAAGAAAAGGATGGTAAAGAGAAAGGGACTTAAATTAGGCCTCTGGCAGTGGTGCCGTGAGTGTGGACTCATCAGACGAAACACGGAATTGCTTCCATTTCACGCCTGTCTTCTGTATGGTCGTGGTATTACACCGGGCGTGCCGGGCCCATTCGTGCTAAGATGTTAAAGCGGGCACTACTACTACACTGGCCCAATCCGCTAAGGGAGAGCCATAAACAAAAAATAGACGTAGCTTTTTAATGGCTTTTTAAATGGAAAGACTTTTTGAAATCGACACAATAGTTTTTGAGTTATTACAATAAGTATAAAAATACCAATCTGTACCTTTTATAATATTAGTATAAAAAAATACACTAAAAACAAAACAAAATACACCAAAAACAAAATATTCTCAAAAAAACAGTACACTAAAAAGTAACGAAATAATTCCTTGACAATAGTA